TCTGGATGTCTTCTTTGGAGAAGTGTCTATTCATGTCTTTTGCGTATTTCTTCACCGGATTACTTGTTTTTTGGGTGTTGAGTTTGATAAGTTCCTTACAGATTTTGGATACTAACCCTTTATCTGATATTTCATTTGCAAATATCTTCTCCCATTCCGTCAGTTGTCTTTCCATTTTGCTATTTGTTTCCTTCGCTGTACAGAACCTTTTTATTTTGATGAGGTCCCAATAGTTCATTTTTGCTTTTATTTCCCTTGCCTCTGGAGACGTGTTGAGTAAGAAGTTGCTGTGGCCAAGATCAAAGAGGTTTTTGCCTGCTTTCTCCTCGAGGATTTTGATGGCTTCCTGTTTAATTTAGGTCTTTCATACATTTTGAGTTTATTTTTGCGTATGGTGTAAGAAAGCGGTCCAGGTTCATTCTTCTGCATGTCACTGTCCAGTTTTCCCAGCACCAGTGGCTGAAGAGAATATCTTTATTCCATTGGCTATTCTTTCCTGCTGTGTCAAAGATGAGTTGGCCATACGTCTGTCAGTCCTTTTCTGGGTTCTCTATTCTGTTTCATTGATCTGTCTGTTTTTGTGCCAAAAAATTGTTTTAATGTAGTGTTTTCATTTAGGAAAAAAGGTAGGTTCAATTCTGTGTTTAACTCACAACAATATATCTTATGTGATGAATGTTTGTTCACAAAGCGCTATGCTAGATACTGCTTAAAGATCCTTTTACAATTCTTTTATTAAGAGACTCTCTTTTAATTCTTGCATGTAAATTTCCTTTGCAATCTTGTTCGTGTGGATAACTCTTTAGTGTCTGGAGAAAGTTTTCATGCCAAGCATTTTATAGCTTGTTGTCTCAACCTACATATGGAAGAAATATTAATTATCAAGAATAAGTACTTGCATTGGGTTTGCTTTGTTCTTCAACATAAAATTTTCATTGTCAAGTTCATTCTGTGATTTTTGTATTGCTCTTTTATGGAAAAGTAATGTATGTCATGGTTTCCTCATAAGCTTTTTAAGCAAATTACTGTTGTCAGCTTCCCTCCCCCCATAATTAGAATGTAATTTCTAATTCAGCCACTCATTCTGAGGTTTTGTTTGCATTTTTACATGGGATACAGAAAAGTTCTCAAGCTTTTCATATGTCAGCCTTCTTTTTAAGAGTTTATCTTGGTGATGGACTTTATGCTACACTTTGTGACTTTTATAAACCTGGAACAGTTATAGAAATTTTATCAGAATCAGCTCATTTATAGCATGTGGGTCACAGAAGGTTAAATCTCCAATGCAGGAGGAAGGTAGCATGTGTGGAAGAAGTAAAGCTCTTAAA